CTGTCGTTGCTGGGATTGTGCCAACAACACCAACACTCGAGAACTTGCAACTACAGAGGCAGTTGTGAAACTGATGACCTCTCACGGAGCATGCAAACGAAATGAGAGTGAATAGGGTATATTACCAAGAAGCTCAATACATCTTTGCTTCTACATTTTCATTGGAGCGACACAACACTGATCCACTAACCGTTATTTGTGGATAGCGCTTGACTACGTTGGTGATCACCAAAGCCTTACCTATGCGAACACAGGTATAGCACAACCAGGGATACTGTTCAGTCTCGATTATAATAGCTTAATTTGACCCAGGAGGCATACATGTATCTGCTGGCAAAAATGAAATATTCTCTAAGTTGCTCAATCAAATGTTTTAAGCTCGCATACTTTACTTGTTTGTGCATTATTTGTTGACAGTGTATCTTGCAGTCTTACGTAGTAAAATGCCTTCTCAGCATCAACTTACACATCGACTCTTACCTGTAACTTCATACAATAACGGAGACGTTGCCTTAGTTTTCGGTCTTCGCTGTAGCAACACGGACCATGCCCTTACGTATTTTTTTATTATTATTTTTGACTACTGGGTTTACGCAATTTACTCCCTGGTACCGGTAGCTTGTTCAAACCAATGCAATGGAAAATGAAGCCATTAACTTTTCACACTATAAAGTCGAGCTACACTGCACCAACACATCAAAAGATGCTTCAGAGCACCTGATACACCTTTTGTGACCTCAAGTTTGGTGTCACTTCTGGCGACTTCGCTCATATTCCAGCTGGATCTCTGCGCTCGTCTTGCCCGACGTCTCTGGCACCAGTCGAAGTGCCATGCAGCAAAACAGACCCAACAGCACCACAAACGGCACGTAGCTGTAGTCCTCCAGAGCGTCTGCCAGGTATGGATACGACACGCCCACAATAAGATTGCAAAGCCAATTGCTGCCGATACACAACGAAGAAGCACTCGCTCGGATAGAATCCGGGAAAATATCTGCCGTCATGACCCACACTAGCGGACCCAGCGTCACGCCAAAGATGATCACGTACAGTGCAGTGAAAAGCACGGAAAGTGCAGGTACCTCCACAAGAAACGCCATTGTCATGCCAAGAGCCATGACCAACATACCAGCTAAACCCCACAAAATCAGAGTGCGGTTCCCGAAACGAACAGCCAAACACCCCGTAAAAAACGCCGGCCAAATGTTGATAAAATCGATAATTAGCGTGCCCACGCGTGGATCGGAAATACCAGCCTCAGCAAAAATGCTGCTCGAGTAGTAAAATACGGCGTTAATTCCTGATAATTGCTGCGAACACGACAGTAACAAGGCACCCGCAATTTGTCGCCGATATTTCGGATCGAACATGGATTCCTCCGCTTGCTTCCCGTCGATTAGAGCTTCTCCTTCACTGTCCTTCGTCTCCAGCCACTGTAACACTGCGCTAACGTTCTCCACTCCATAAAGCCGAGCGATAACATGCTTGGCTTCATCTTGGCGGTTCTGCATCAACAGCCACGCAGGACTCTCCACACAAAGTGACGGTGCAAACAATAGAAATAATGCAGCTAATACCAATGGAAACCCGGCCAAAAATCGCCAACCTGAGCTGGTATTGGCGAAGAAAAATGCCACAGCCGGCATCATGATACCGAACGTCACGGAAATCTGGAGTCCCAAACCAAGGACATTGCGTAGATACGGCGGTGACAACTCGTTCACGTAGGCTCCGATTGTTCCCGTTGCAACACCAGAAGCGATACCAGCAATGAGACGACCAAAAGCAAACAGCCAAATGTTCGAGACGCTCATCTGGACTACTGCTCCCACAACGATAAAGCCACAGTTAGCGAGCAGCAGCTTCTTGCGGCCCCACAAATCACTGTATCTACCACAGGATAAGCTGCCTATCATCGCACCGAAAATCCATGCGTTCACCGCGAAAGTCCATTCCAGCTTCGAATGTCCAGGAAACATAAGACACGTGTTTGCAGCCACGGGACGAGCGCTGCACTCGGTAGTGTCGTGGAACTGAGCCAGATTCAGCTGTGATGTGGACCAACCACTTTGAAATGGCTGGAGCAGTGACACGAGGACACTCAGATACACAGCAGCTCGGGGCTCGACCTCACTAGAGCTGATAGCTTCGGACATCTCAGGCATAATTAAGAAGCGTCTTGATTCCTGGGGAGAATGAGATGAGATCAAGCTGGGACGTGGCGATAGAAAAACCCTCATGTCATTTAAGCCAATGCCTTTTTTCATGTCGACAATGATTGTAATTGATGAATTTACACAAACGCACACACTCAAACTATGTAAGCTACGATTCTGACTTGCGCGTGATCGAGAGTTCACGAAATACTGGAGCACCATTCACAAGAATCATTCGCCGGCCTTCGCCTCTTTTCTTGAGCTTCTTGAGGCGGTGTTGGCCAATGACACTACACAGAATAGTTGGTGGAAGGAGAACCGGCATCACGAATCCAGGACGTGTCAGTGCATTGTAGCTCCACATGTAAGCCGTCATGATGTACTGAAATAGGCAGCCCAAGTTCAAGATGATCAGCGAAGTCCGTATGTACTTGACTTCGTCACAGAGGAACATAAAGTTCCCAAGACGACTGATTTCTTCGCTTTCGACTGGCGATTTCGCGTTCTTCGTGTCACTACGTTGAGCTTCAAAGCAGTCAACGTCGTGATCGAAGATCGTCCCTCGATGAACGAATACGCAAGGGAATTTTGAGCACATGTAGCGAGCAGCACGAATACCCGGTCCAAGCTTTTGGCCACGCTGTTGTCCACTTGCCTTCAAGACGCGCGATGCCATGACAAGACGGACGATGTAGTAGGGGTGGTTTGTTATGGCTCTCCACGTGAAGACTCCGTTCATGACTTGAGTTGCGATCTCCACCCAGTTACCTTGAGCCCTCTTGTCACCTACAGGCGACAGTCCCGTTTGAACTAGCAAGAGAAACACGCCTGCGATAGCGACCACAGCTTCCAGTACTGCGTTGTATATTTTCGACGCGAGTTTTCGTTCCCAATCTGGATCACTGGAATGTCCGTAGGTCTCTCCAAGAATCGGTGTAGCTGGTGCTGGCGTTCGATTAGGCTCGTACATCGGTATTTCGATGTGAGAATCTGCCCGGTTGTGAGGAAATGAGCAATGGGAAACACCCAGAGTGGAAGCTCTTTTAACAAAGGAATGCTGTGGCACAGCTTATCGTGGCATGTTATCATTCGTTAGACGGTGGCAGGTAGTTACACTAAGTTAGTAGACTGGATTCGGATACATTTCCAGGTTGAATGGTTGTGGGGCGTCAACCTACTGTTATAGTATAGTTTCTCAGTCGTTAGTAACCGCACGACACAACAAGCAAGACTGTCCACCTGAAGCGCTCAAATCGAATTTATTTTGTGCTTTCAATCCACCCGTCAAAATCGTTTGATTGCTTCATAGTTACTGCAACAAAATCAACAAACTTTAACTACTGTAAGCATAATCACAATTGGCTGTTACTGTAGTCGTTGAGGCTTTGAAAATCGAATCGACGGAATCATCGTCAAGACATAATCATCCCTGTCCACACACAATAAAATGGAGAACAACGAACGACATACATCAGCTGCATTCAGAACTGGTGTGACTCTCGGTGGAGTCATGCCTTTACAGAGTTTTATCGTATTACCATGGATACAAGAAAAATAACAAAACGGTAGTAAGGTTCTACTCGATAGGATAGTCAAGACACCTTGTTGATGGTTCCTCACTACTCAAGGCACTTGCAGAAAAATCGCCAATAAGGTAGGATCCTTTTGGTCCCACAATATTTTTTTCCAGTGAGTAATCTATCCAACGTGCTTTCAGATTCTTTCGAAGTTCTCATTGTTAGAAAGCTGCACAGAAAGGTTGCATGATTTACGTGACTGTGGAGTCAGAGTGCAACCGTGAACTATTAGGTTAGAAGTTAAAGTGATTTTGGTTAGGTCTACATGTTTAAGAAAATTAGCAACAACAAGATCAATAGTACAAAATGATATACAGCAGTTTTGATATCCACGTGATGTAGTAACAGCGACCAACGCTCACTCTGATCCTGATCGTCTCAAGAAGAGGGGTTACTTGCTACACGAACGAGTTTCGTGAACTTGACAGCTTGTCAGCGACCGGACCAGACCTGACAGGGATGACTTGTCGACCGTCGCTTTTCCTTTTTAGTTGGTAGAATCCATACTGGCCAATGACGTTGCAGAGAATCGCTGGTGGAAGCAGCACCGGTAAAGCGAATGCAGGGCGTGAAGATTCATCGTAGCCCCACATATATCCCGACATAACGTATTGGATTAGGCAGCCACAGTTCAAAATGCCCAACGTGTTTCTTAAATACCTGACGTCGGTGCGAAAGAAAATAAAGTTTCCCACCTCCAGAACCTCGTTCTCGTCTGATGAATCCTGCACCTCGCCACGCTCTTGAGCTTGAGATGCCATCGCGCTAGTCTCGCAGCAAATTCCGCTTTTGCTGACAAATATATGCGGGAAAATTTTGCTCAAATGTCCTGCAGCACGTGTAACCTCCATTTTCTCGTTCTGCTGTCCGGTGCTAGCCTTTAATGCGACCGTTGTCATCACAAATCGATAAACGTAGAGCGGTTGATTGGTGACAGCCAGCCACGTAAACACGCCGTTGATGATCTGCGAAGACACTTCAACCCAGTCGTCCGTGTCTTCGCTGTCGCCAACGTCTACAACCTCGGTTTGGACCATGACTAGAATCACAATCGCGGCGACGATGACAGCAATGAGTACACCATGGTACACCATCGAAGTAATCTTCCAGTGTCGTTTGGAATCGCCGATGTGCTGGTATGTACTCTCTAGGACCGGTGTTGCTGGAGAATCAACTTGAGCGACCATTTTTTTTCTTCTATATCTTGCTTGGAAATTAGTGTCAGTTCGTGCTCGCGTTTTCAGAAATGAAGTTCTATAACTGCTTAAGCACTTGAGAAACACAGACCCTTATTGATTATTCGTCGGGAGTTATGGTGGTTAAGTTGCCGTAATTCACTTGACATACCAAAATGGCTCACCTCACCAATGATTTGCAATTTTTGGATCGACATCATTTGAGTGCATGGACATTACAAAATTACTTAACGAAATATAGTAATTTACCACTGCTTCATTTTCTTTAAATAGGTCCGGGAAGTCTATGTCTCAGTTTACCGGAGGTGCGACATCAAGTGTTTTTATTGCAAGTAACGCGCCTTAACCGCTCATATTTTTTTTTAGAAAAAGTAATGGAACTCCCTACATTGAACTAAAGACACGATTCCACTTCGGCAAACCATTCCGCGGTAATGTAGCATTTCACGTCATCTATTTGTTTGTTCGGTATCATTAGCGATCAGCCTAGGTAAAAAAAAAAAAACACGATTGATACCTTCTATCAGTATTTTGGAGTCGACAACTGCGAAAAAGACCGTTTAATTGGTACAGCTGGGCAATCTTCACACAACGAATGCGATGTCCACCCACGAACAAATGATCAGCTCGAACCAGTCATCGCAAGCGAGGGCCGAGGTGACACCAGTGAGTTGCGCGTGCTTGACAAATTTTCAGGATATGGAGCACACCCAAGAGTGAGGTTTTGCGGGTTCTTGATCTTCTTGTTAAGCTTGTACAAACGATATTGACCAACAACGTTACACAGCACAATTGGCGGAATCAGAGCAGGCAGCACAAATCCAGGACGCGAAGACTCATCATAGCCCCACATATATCCAGACATGACATACTGGAGAAAACATCCACAGTTCAGGAAGATGTATGCCGTTTGCAGATATTTGGCATCCTGGTGGAGAAAAAAAATGTTGCCAATGCACACAACCTTCTCAGTTTCTAGCGACGAGTTCACAGATCCGCACTGATCTTCCAGATGTCCGAAGTTGAGTTGAAAAGTTTCTGGGAAATGTTTGCTCAAATAGCGAGCTGCTTGGATGTTCGACTCCGTACGACTTGCATCCAGCACGCGTGACGTCATGACCAGCCGATAGACATAGGAAGGCTGATCCGTAATTGCCATCCACGTGAAGACTCCGTTCAGGACTTGCGATGACACTTCCGTCCAAGCATCCTGGACATCTTTATCGCCAACATTGAAGGCGCCAACTTTCACACCCAAGAGAATCACAATTGCCACGACGATCACAGCTTTCAGTACTGCATTGTACGCGATCGAAGCGACATTCTGACGTCGGTTTGGCTCGCTTACCGGTTCGTATGTGTCGCCAAGAATTGGGGTAGCTGGCTGGGAGGAAGCCATCAGTCTCGTTTTGTTGCCTATGAGCTTGAATTCGGAAATGAAAGTAGCTTCAGCTGGGAGAAAATATCTAGTGTTGAGACCGTTCTCAGTAACAAATTGCTTCCAAAGTCGTTTGATTACTTTCGCTACCAGCAAGATTTTTTAGTCAACACCGACATCTTTCGAGACTCAAAGAGCATGTCTGCCACAGTCGACAGGAGCCATATGACCCCAGACTTGTGAGTTTCCAGTTAACGCCCTCAATGAATACAACTTACAGTATCCGATCAAGCATCAAGAAAAGGTCACGATCATTATTTCACCACAAAAAAAAGCAAAACATGAATATTGGGTACCAGTATAAAAAATCAAAATTAATTTTTACATGCTAGAGAAGAAGGTTATGCTTGTCCTCCTGGAGCGCTGCGTCGCGCCTTGATGTCCTTGTTGAGCTTGAAGATTCGGTATTGGCCTCCAAAGTTGCATAGGAACGAAAGCGGCAGGAAGGCGGCAATGACGAATCCAGGGCGCGTGTCAGCGTTGTAGGCCCACATGACTGCAGTGATCGGGTACTGGAACAGACAGTTCCAGTTAAGCATGACGAACGTATTGCGCAGATTTTCGGCGTCTCCACGGTTGTATGTGATCTCCTCGAGCGTCTCCGTCTCCTCGTGTTCCGTCAGCAAGTACACCGCGCCATCGTCGACTGCAGCGTCTTGTGCCTCTGCGCTCTCGAGTTTGTGGTCGTGTACAGCTTCGGTGTCGACGAATACGAGCGGGAAATGGCGGCTCAAGTACCGAGCCGCTCGTACGCGCTTGTCCATTTCAGGGACCCAATTCCATCGGCGGATACCCAAAACTTGCAGCGTCTTGATTAAACGGTAGAGGAAGAAGGGGTGGTTGGTTATGGCCATCCACGTGAAGACGCCATTGAGAATCTGCGAGTTGACTTCGATCCAGTCGTCCTTGACGTCCTTGTCGCCGTCGCCGACCTTGACCATGCCCACCATGACCATGAACAGAATGGCGCCGGAGACCACGATGACAGCATAGAGCACGATGTTGTACGCGATCCAGAGGTACAGTCGACTCTTGGAGGCCTTGGAGCTCTTGGCAGTCATGTCTGGCCGACTGATTTAGAAGTGTTGACTTCCAGGCGTCTTGTCTTGGATCAGGAAGGGAGTCGCCCTCGAATAGCTCACAAGAGCGAGTGGACCCCAGCGAACAGATAATCCGAGTCAACCTTACGCACGGCAACGATGCAACCACCCTAGGCGGATAATCATCTATCCGTCGAGATGGTGGCGGCCACGGTGGACTGACTGTGAGTCCACTGGACTCCGTGGTGGAGCGAAGGCGCTCCTTGGTGGGCACAATTGCGGCAGTGCCAGGAAAATGTGCCCAGACTACTGTTCAGAGAGCCTTCATTGTGTTTGGCTCTCAACAAGTGGTGATCAGACTTGTGTTAAAAGGGATCGACATTCGGTTCTTAATTGATGTGGAGACTGATGAGCTCACGGTGGATCAGTCTCCGCTCAAGGGCGTAATATCGCTAGGAGAAAACATGGTGTTCGTACAGCAGACCCACTCACTTGGAGCAACGCTGAAGCGAGTCGCTTCATGACCTTCACGGCTGCTGTGTAGTTGTGGCATGTTGGTAATCCGATGTAACTCGGCATCATTCCATGGACACGGCCATTTTCTACGGAGCCCGTGATCTCCAGCGAAGATGTTCTGGTTGTTTTCCAGCTCGACGCTGCTGTGTTGTCAAAAGTTGCCACTGGCAACCCAAGTGTGTTCTAACACAAGTACATGATCTCTTTCCCACCACACTGTGTCCTAAAGCCATCAAGGGTCGAGTCAGCGAGTGAGAAAGTGGCACGGGGCAAAGGAACAGCTCCTTTCTCGTGTAAAAAGCCGGTGGGTTTCCATTCTCAACGAGATCTCGTTGTTGACGAGCACACCGAAAAGTAAGAGAGCATAAAAAAAAATCCCTTAAAGACATCGTGGCCAGCCAAAAGCAAACTTTGGGCAGAGCCACGAATTATCCCTAAAACCGCAGCAGACGGAGTCCATCCGAGCCAGCTGCTGTTGCAACCCTCTTCGATAAATCCTCGGCCTCTACCTTAAAACGTCGCGCAAAACTTTTGCTCAATCTGAGAAAAACGTTCACTCTCCGTTTAGCACTCTTGGAGTGAACAGCTCCGAACAATTGCATTGCCACAAGCCTGCTATGCCGCACGCGCTGCCTCCGCGGCCGGCGCTGTCCTCTATCCACGTGCTGGTGCCCGGCCACTCGCCCAAGGACGAGGACGATAACGCGGTGTGGCTCACGGCTCCGGCCGTACCCATCCCGACGCAGCCGTCGAGATTTTCCGCCTGCAAACGTCGCGCTTCCTCTCTGGGCGACCTGTTGCCGCGACCACAGACGTCTCCGTCGCCGGCCAAGGCGTTGGCCAGTGCCTTCCACTCCGTCTCGGTACGTACGCACCAGAAATTGGCCAATTTGCGGTCTCAGTCGGACAATTTGAGGAAGAAAACGAGTCCAAGAGGCGTTTGGCGACTGCCCAGCGCCATGAAGGTGAACAACCCCATACGACGCCCCACACCTGTGGCCAGCCACAGATTCAAATGGGGAGAGCAAGATCTTCTGCAACATGCTCAGGCCACGTTCGAATACCACGGAGAAGACGCAGGTTCGAGCTCCAATTACTTCCACATAGTGGCCGACGGCGTGTCGTCTCCTTTCGGCCGTCAGTCGCTCGCTGCAGTCGATGGCGTGCCTGTATCTTCGGCCATCCTGTCGGCCGAGGTCGTGAGGTGTGTACAATTGGCTCTGGAGGAGCTGACGAACCACAATAAAGAATCAATCGACCAAACGGCCTTCGAAAGCGCAATAGTGGACGCTATCAAGACGGCCAGGATCAACTGCTTCCAACACAGGAAATCCAGACTGGCCACGACGCTGGCCGTGTCGTATTTTAACCGCTGGACTGGCAAACTCATGACTTTTTCACTTGGGGACTCGAAATGTCTGGTGGTAAGACAGGGAAGTGTAGTCTACGAGACCTTGGCCGTGTTACGAGAGTTTAACGTCCCCACAGTCGTCAACTTGAGAGAACAGGTGGTGGCCAGGGACTACGTCGTACAGAGCTTTACATTGCAGGAAGGCGACGTGTGTCTAACCTTCTCGGATGGCCTGGGAGATAACGTTTATAAGGACGATATTACAGCCGCACCAGAGCTCTGGGAATCCGAGGAATCCGGACTGCAGAGTGTATGCGACCAACTTGTCAACATGTCTAAGGTAAACAAAGAAGACGGAGAGCGACTGTATCCATTTGCAACAGCCGCAGTACTGGAGTATCGAGAACGTGTATTGGAGGAGACGAAACATGCAACTGGCGCACTTGATGCCAGTGGCGTTGACCACTTGGCCGTGTCACTGGAGCTTATGGAAAGACACAAGGGCAAACAGACACTAAATCGCCACTTACTGTTGCGTAGGCCGTCACGTAAGCACCATTATTCACTCATGCAACTCAAACTGATGGCCGAGATGCAGACGAAGAAACCGGACGATATTACACTCTTCATGACGCGTTTTGTGCAAGGATTTTAGCTAAGTTTTAGCAACCTGGCTATTGAAATCTCACATGTCGGCGATGGGGTTGGCGTGGATAGTGACGGACTTGATGACGATCTCCTTGAGCGGCCGGTTCTTGGCGTCCACGGGCGTCTTCTCTATGGCGTCCAATGTGTCCAGGCCGTCGATGACCCTGAAGGTATTTATTCAGCACAGTGAGATTATCAGCTTTTAACTCGCGAAGCGAGTACATCGACAGATTTTTTTTAAAATAAAATCCAAACTTTTTCACATACTTGCCGAAAACCGTGTAGACATTGTTGAGGTGTGGTTGCTTGGCGTACGTGATGAAGAACTGCTGCTTGTTGGTGTTGGGGCCACTGTTGGCCATCGATACGATGCCTCGGCAATTGTGCTAAAAGACAAAAAAGTGAATACTATTAGTTGTAGTCTCAGTAGTTTAATGCTGTGAGCCAATGTTATACTCGGTTCTGCGGGTGGAATTCGTCGTCGATAGTGCCGCCCCAGATGCTTTGGCCGCCTTTGCCGGTACCGGTGGGATCTCCTCCTTGCACCATGAATCCCTTCATGTTACTGTATCAACGGGTAAAAGTTAGTCGAGAGTCGAGTTTTAATGCAAAAATTATTTTTACCGGTGAAATTTGGTGCCACTGTAAGCGCCACTTGCACAAAGTGCCAGGAAGTTCTGCAATAAGAGTGGAAATGGCACATTAGAAATTGTTGATAGTAAGTGTCAGAAGCCGGATCATACTTCGGATGTACGGGGCGCTGTATCGCAGCACACTTCGATCTTGATGTCGCCCAGGGTCGTGTGCAGTGTGACAGACTAAAAGCAAGTGAATTAAAGCGTTAGAGGACTGCATAGAGATCGAGCAAGAGGAGCTTCCAGCAACACCATTACCATGTTTGCAGCGATGTCAATAAACAAATGGACCAATCATCGAATTTTAGCTGAAATTAGACCAATGAAAAGCTACAATTTTCAGAAATGAAAAATTACACGGGTACACATGGCTACTCACTTCAACTTCGGAAAAAAAAAGTTTTGGTGTGTTAGTAGGTCGGTAAGGTGTTTCTGTTTCTGCACTCGTGACCTCCGCTCTACTTGTGCTCGATGACAGCAATTGCCTCGTCTCCGTCGCCGTTGATGAACAATCTGCAACACTGGAGAACAGCGGAGTAGCGTTGTCATCATGGCTTCTTGCCTGACTGTCATTGGTCTCTTGTATCTCGAACTGACATTGTCGACATCCTGCACTGTCAGGTTTGCGCACGAGGATAATCTCGCACATAGTACAATGTCGTGTAGGGGTCGCAATAGTGTTTGCCATAGCAGACTCGCTTGATGGAGTATCAACGGCTGGTGCCGAAGATGCAGCGCATTCATTCTCACCAGTGTTTTCATCCGAGTCCGAGGAGATAACGATAAATGCGGCTTCTTTAGACTCCAAACCTTCTCCAGTCTCACTATTCACGTTTACAAAGCAGCATTCGCAGTCATCACTGTCCTCAGCAGCATTTCTCAATGGTGGACGCCATATATGTTCGTTCTGACCGTCTTCCAGTTTAAGAAAAAAAAAAAACACCTGCAGCACTCGCAGCAGCCAACAGAAAAGCTTCGCGTTTGTCCTCATGACTGCCAGTGCCAAATTCAATATTTTCTATGGTAAAACCCCAGTGGTGAAAGCGTGTTCCACAGAAATAGTGTGTTCCTCGAGATAGTGCAAACTCAAGTTTCCGGTCCTTGATATTGTTCCAGACACGTAGGAAAACGTTGGCCAAATCCACAGCATCTTCCAGCCGGTTTCGATACATTTCGAGGCATTTTCCACCTCAAACTTGAGTTCACGCCACGAAATCGCCTCATCTCGCATACTTTTGATAACATTTTGCCGCAAATTTATTGTGGACGAGCCTTTCACCTCAACTCGAGAGCTTTCCATGTGTACATGAACGTGGGGCGGACAAACGCTCTCGATTCTTTTAATGTACTTGATATACCAGTTCATTTTCCGTGGCTTTTTCGTGCAGTTCATCACAGGCTTCAATTTATTCGGCAGGTTCCGGATGAATTTCGATAGTAGAGGTTGGAGAAATAAGTCGTTGAATGAAAAGCTGGGCTCGAAATCGGTGCTTGGTTAAGTTTGAATTGTCGAGTCCTCATCTGACTGGTCGATTGTTAAGTTCACAACGTGATGGTCTGTGCTTTCGTCATTGTGTACTGGTCGGTAAGCACAAAAACGGCCGTTGCCTTCTTGCGGAATGATGTACGTTGCCTCTCTGTTGTCTTGACCAACGTTTGACCTTCCAGCATCGTTGAGATGATTGGAATACCCATTCAAACGATCATTATCTTCAATAGTGCGCCATTGAAACTCCTGATTGAATCGAGGTAGTTCTGGATTGAACCATCGTGAATAATTGTTATGCCTTGGATGATAACACTGACTCTGCGGTCTGCTTTCTCCAGTCTATTCTTCTTGGACAGTTGAATGCGGATTTGGCCACACCAAAGACGCATGAGGAGGAGGCGGCGATGTAACAACCTGTGAGGATTGATCACAAGCTTCCGTGCGTCTTGAAAACACAACTTTCGGTCTCGCTGGTCTTCCAGAAGCAGCTGCTCTAGTTTGAGTTGTTGACAGCACCGTACACTGAAGCATGTAACGCGGACGTGTTACGATAGGGGGTCTGCCCATCGACTGCAAAGATGCCCGAATATTGAACTGCACATGGCCTCCGTCCGCTTGACTTCTAGACCTACTTGTCTGCCATCGTGAAGCTTGCTGCATTCTCTGTGCTCGCATTCGAGAGGACACCGCAAGCGCCGGTATAATTGGAACTTGAGGCTCAAAATACGAGAGCACTTCGTTAAACTGCATACGTTGTCCAAGCCGTGGCCTTTTTCGACTCCTTGATCCTGCTGAAGTACCATCGAGTGCGCTACCATGTCGTGGATCCAATTCAGTCGATTGAGTTGCGTCGTTCCTGGTGGCACTTACACTGATCCTGCGTTTCCGACGGGGAATGACAAAGTGTTCATCTGCTTCGCACGCCTCCTTCTCATTAGACGCACTTGACTTTGTTCCACATACCAAAAGCGAATCACTCTGTCCATTTGACTTCAATTCTTGTTGTGCTGCAGCCTCTGCATTCGTCTGGCACTGCAGCTTAAGTCCGCGATGTAGCTGGCACATCACACGCTCGCAATAACTGGTATAGGAAGAGTACAGCACGCTTCGGCAGAACGGATTTTGACACCAATGAACTGCTTCTTCGTTCTGAACGCCGTTCCCTTCGACAGCTTGTCGGATCTTGGCTGCTTCTGCTAGAGCTGTATCCTCACTGTAACTTCTCGGGATCATTAGAAACGTGAATGAAGAACGTCGTGGTCATTTCGCATCTCGTGAATAAAAAACGCTTCAAACCAAGTGAAAGATGCAAAGTGACTACGACATGCAACGCTCGTACCTTAGGAGTACACGGCCAGCATCTCCTCGATCTCAAGACGGCAGATGGGGCACTTAGTCACCTCTTCACGACGCGAACAGGCCTCACAGAGACACAAGTGACGGCATGGCAGACACAGGATGGTCTTCTCGTTGGACAGGCAGATCACGCAGAGCTTGAGCTCGTTCTGCTCCTCCACTTGTCGATCCAGTTTCTTCTGCATTTCCAGCGCCTTCTCCTCCTTCGCACTACGCACGTGACTCAGCGTGGTTTCAAGCAGATGCTCCCACTCCTTCAATTCTTCCATCGAGCAATGTGTCAGTGTGGTGGCGGACGCGAGAGCAAGCGCCGATTGAACGCTACGGAAGGAATGCGAGGCTTGCGAGCGGCTCGCGACGGCGTACGCTGCCTGAACTTGTTGATGCGGATCCAGGTTCCTCAGATCGAACGTGTGCTCCTTCTGTTTGAGACGTTTGCGTAAAGTGGCCAGCTCCTGCATGAGCGAGTCGTGATGCTGCGCGTGATTTTCGTAGCCGTGTAGTTGCGTCTGCAACAAGTCGTTCTCGAACAGCAAACCATCGCGATCTCGTTCCACTCGGTCAATGAGCAAGTGCAGCTTCTGGTTGTTGTGGCTTAACTGGAGAATGCGACGACGTGCGAACGCCACTTGCTCCTGCATTTCTCGATTACGCACGATCAGGTCTTCGCAGTATCTTCTCCATGGTTTTTCAGCATCATCGCCTTCCTGTACATCCCAGTGCTGCTCTGCCATACCGGACTCAGCAAGAGCTTCAAGCGCAGCAGCCGACGCGGTTGATGTCGCAGTCGACGCTTGTGCTTCGCCCGACGCAGCTGAGCACCGCGAGTCATTGTAGCTGGAGTCTTGAACAAGCTCGTCGAAAATTGATTGGTCCATCAGCTTCTCTTCATCAGGAGCCTGTAGCTCAAGAGCACTGGAGCTGTCGAAACTTGCGTCATTGTCGTCGTCTTCGCTCGAGTAGCCGTCATCCAGCGCTTCATTTTCCCAGCCAAGATGCATTGTGATGCCATCATGTTGGACAGGTTCGAACTGTTCTCTCATGTCCACACTGCCAGCCGATAGATCCAGCGGTGAGGGGTTGAACTGCGAGTACTCCAGCGGACGACTAACGACCCACTCTGCGTCGCTGTCTTCGTCACTGTCACTCAAGAGATTGTGCTGTTCAGCCACGTCTTCTCTTGGTCGAAAGCGCTCTGCGATACGATTTCGAGGTGGATTTTGAGCTGGGAGCGATCCAGAGACAGCAAACGACTGAGAGAATGATGCTCCGTCGTCGTTTACGTAGTCCTGGGTCTGTCGTTGTTCTTCAGCAGGAGATTTCACTTGATATTGACGGAATAAGTTGCCTCGGATCCTGCCAAATGGGCCTCTCCCCCACGTGAGTCCATCAATTGCCATCGCGCATCGCTTTGCCATATCCGGGTCGTCGAATTCGAGGAACGCGTGGCCTTTTGTACGTCCAGAGGAACTGGCCGACGGGATCACCACTTGAATGGGGTCTCCGATCATGCAGAACAAGTTGCAAGACAGAATTTCCATCAATTCCTCGGTACGATCCATCGACACCTTGGGCAGATTGGTCAACACGCAGACGCTGTTGAAGCACGTCCCCGCCCGAGCATTTCCGAACTCGAATTGAGCCATGTCGAACACTGGCCACTTGAAGGGGAGGAACGAACGTTGCTCCAAGTTGTAGGCCGCGTTCGCATCCACAGCTTCACTTTCTGCCCAGTTCTGCTCGAGATTTTCGCCATTCACCACATCAACATGAGCGTCGGTCACCATCTTCACCAACGACATGAAGATGTCGACGTATGCCAGTTCACAGTCCGAGTCATAGTGGTCGATCTCCAGAACTCCGGCTTCTAGAGCTGCACGCGTTATGTTCTCGCGGAATCCTAATCGAAGCAGGTTTCCTAGCATGGCGTTCTTTATGGCGCGAGCTTTGGCAGCGTTGATAGCGCGGTTCGAAGGGTCCATAATCTCGCCTTGCTCCAGCTGCAAGCCTTCCACGACGTCTCTGCCATCACTCTCGACGCTATTCGGGTGCCTTAGTGGCTCGTTGGCCTCACTTGAGAGTGTCATATCGGTGACGCTCTCTGTTTCGGTGTTCTCGTCTTCGTCCTCTTCGTTGTCGCTACTCAATGTGCTATCATCCTCCTCGACACACTCGTATTGAGCGGGGAGAGATGGATGCAGAGCTGAAGCGGAGAAGCTCCGCAGCTGTGGCATCGGTGGAAGGTCTTCCGCGTGCTCAGCTCTGTCTACAGCTGACCAAAGCTCTGCTGTCCGTGCGATTAGAGTTCGGATCTCGGCAGCTTCACTCTCGATCTCCTCGGCAAAGTCGCCTTGTGGCGAGACACTACGTGCACTTGGAGCTGTAGCTACCTCAGCTGCACCACCTCCAGCTTAATACACATCACTTATAAGCCAACGATATCTACAGGATTTCACTAACAACTACACTTACTGTCTAATGGCTGCTGTAGACTGGACCGTCGAATTCTGTTGCGAGTTCGCTCCAGCAGCTGCTGGCGGCTTCCAGCCCGCCACATTCTTTTAGTTCTCGGTTCACTTCCTGGTTCATGTGGAGCGGGTCTGGTTGGGACAGGAATATGGACCTGTGTGTCGTGCTCTTCGTCACTCTCAGCCTTGTCTTGAGATGGTTGTACGCTGGCACTAGACTGAACGTCGTGTTCTTCTTGCTGGTTGGTGGACGCTGCAACGCCATCCACACGCGGTGGAGAGCGCGATTCGCTCGTATTTGACGGAGATCGCATTTTTCTACTTGTTTGTTTCTGTTTAGTAAGGACTACGCGATGATTTTTACGACTTTGACAGTAATTCTTGCACGGATAGATAGATCTGCGTATTGCGAATGTGGTGATGTAGCGTTTGCAGCGCTGTGGCACGTGGAGGCTGCGCTACGGTCGATGAAGGGCAGGCGAGGACAAGACGATGCGGGCGCGCGACTGCTAAAGGAAACGGTTGTTGTTTAAGATTGGGTGAGCGAGTTTGACGGGGTTTGTGGACGTCACACCAAACTGCTGATGCCATCCATTTTGACTGAAGATTGCTTACTCCTTTCTGGCCAATCGTAAACGGTTCGGAATAAATTTTCGACCAATCGTCGTACTTCAGCTTGCAAGATTCTGGCTCACTGTCTTTCCAGAAGTTCAAACGCACAAAACAAAGCGTGAGTCTCAAGCGGAACTTTGGTGCGTGTTGCTGTCCCCCTCACAGCACCCCCAGGTCTCAACACATAGCTAACTGTATTCTCATCCCTCTGCCGCTAGTATCTGCGTGTGTGCGTGAAACAGCGGCGTCCAGATCTTCGTTACAAAGGAGATAGCGTCGGATTGACTAAATAAGGTGCGCAAATAACGAAAAACGCGGCGATTTCCGCGTTACCAGTGGCATTTAAGCCGGAAAAACCGCTGCAACAGCACGTGCGGAGTATGCCATTGTGTGCTATCTGGTCGCAATGCTGACTTTTATTTCCTGTAGGAATAAAAAACAGGGTAAAACCAGCTTAAAAAACAGAGTCAAGATGGAAGCCGTGGGCCAGAAGTTGCTAGATTTCTCCCAGCCGTTCGATGTGGCAGCACTGGACCAGGTGGTGCAGTGCATGAACGACCCCAAGAGCCCGCACCAGCGTGTGGCCAATCAGATCATGGTGGCGCTGCAGGAGCACCAGGACTCGTGGACGCGCGCGTCAGACATTTTGGAGCAGTCTAGCAGCATCCAGACCAAGTTCTTCGGACTGCAGGTGCGTTATCATACAGGTTCTGACAATGTATAGTAAAATGCTGACACGATATTGGAAATTCTAGATTTTGGAGGACGCTATTCGTTACCGCTGGAAGATCCTGCCCAAGGATCAACGGGAGGGTATTAAGAGTTATATCGTGGGCAAGCTGCTGTCGGTGCGTGATTTGTTACTTTATTTTTTATTTTTTTCTTAACTAAGTTATTATTTTTTTAGATGTCGTCGGATGAGTCAACGCTGCACAGTCAGAGGATGTTTGTAAACAAGATGGATCTCGTTCTGGTGCAAGTGTTGAAGCACGAGTGGCCGCAGAACTGGCCGTCGTTCATCACGGACATCGTTAACTCGAGCAAAACGTCGGAGATCTTGTGCGAGAACAACATGACGATCCTGAAGCTGCTGAGCGAAGAAGTGTTCGACTTTTCCAAGGACCAACTGACGGAACAGAAGACCAAGACGCTCAAGGAGAGTCTGAACCACGAGTTCACCCAGATCTTCCAGCTGTGCGAGTTCGTGCTGAACAAGTCGACGCACGTGCCTCTTCTCCAGATCACGTTGCAGACGCTGCTTCGTTTCTTGAGCTGGATCCCGTTCGGGTTCATCTTTGAGACGGACCTCATCAAAATCCTCGTCACAAAATTCCTGGCAACGAACGTGTTCCGCAACGATACGATCAGCTGTTTGAGCGAGATCGCGCAGTTACGCGACGTGCCGGAGCAATACAACAGCGTCTACGTGCAGCTGTACATGGGTGTTTTGAACGAGGTGGGCAAGATCCTGCCGCCTGGCAGCTCCTTCACGCCTTTCTGGGAACAGGACGAGGTGTTTGTGCAGCGTTTGAGCATCTTCTTCACCAGTTTCTTCCGGTTCCACATCCAAGTTATCGAGCGGCCGATCTCTACACCTGGTGATGAGGCTCACCAGGCTTTGCTGGCTGGTTTCACGTACCTCGTGTGCATCGCCGAGGTGGACGATGACAGCATTTTCAAGATCTGCTTGGACTACTGGCACTTCTTCACGCGTGATCTGTACACGGTGGACCAGAACCAGATGAACCCGCTCGCAGGCTTCCAGAACCAGTCGCGTAGTCGTCGTCAACTGGTGTCGCCTGTAATGAACCGCGTGCGTCACGTCATGATCTCGAAGATGGTCAAGCCGTCCGAAGTGCTGATTGTGGAAGACGAGAATGGAGAGATTGTGCGGGAGACGACGAAGGACACAGAGGCGCTGTCCCAGTACAAGACGATGCACGAGACGCTCGTGTACTTGACGCACTTGAACTATGACGACACCGAGACGATCATGTTGGAGAAGCTGACGGCACAGGTTGAAGGTACGGAGTGGTCATGGAATAACCTGAACACTTTGTGCTGGGCTATTGGGTCGATCTCTGGCGCTATGAGCGAAGAGAACGAGAAACGTTTCTTGGTCACCGTAATTAAGGATCTACTCGGATTGTGTGAGATGAAGCGCGGCAAAGACAACAAGGCTGTGGTCGCGTCCAACATTATGTACGTCGTGGGCCAGTACCCGCGCTTCCTGCGTGCCCACTGGAAATTCCTTCGCACAGTCGTCAACAAGCTGTTCGAGTTCATGCACGAGCTGCACCCTGGCGTTCAAGATATGGCCTGTGATACGTTCCTCAAGATCTCCCAGAAATGCCGTCGTAAGTTCGTGGTCCTGCAGAGCGGTGAGACGCGTCCGTTTGTCGAGGAATTGCTGGAAGAGCTGCCTCGTATTGTATCGGACTTGGAGACGCACCAAGTGCACACGTTCTATGAGGCCGTGGCGGCGATGCTCGCTGCTGAGAACGATGCAGGTCGGAAGGAAGTGCTGCTGGGTCGTTTGATGAACCTCCCGAATGAGGCCTGGAAGTCCATTATGTCCCAAGCATCGCAGGACGTCAACATCCTCTACGACAGTCGGGGTATCAAGGAGATTGTCAAGATTATCCGGACTAATGTCAAGGTGTGCAAGGCCATCGGACCCAACGGCTTCAACTCGCAGATGGGCTACATTTTCCAGGATATGCTCAACGTCTACGTGGCCTACACGCAGCGTATCGCTGCGATGGTGGAGCAGCGCGGAGAGATCGCAGTCAAGACGTCGGAGGTGCGATCACTGCGTAGCGCCAAGAAGGAGAGTCTGAGACTAATGGACGCCTTTGTGGAGCACACGGCAGGCGATGATTCGTCCCGGCAATTCGTGGCTACCCACTTCCTGCCCAAACTCTTGGAGACGATCCTGTCGGACTACCAGAACACAACGCCCAGTGCCAAGGAATCCGAGGTGCTGAGCTTATTGGCTACTAGTATCAACAAGCTCAAGAACATCATCGCACCCACGGTGCCCATGATCCTCGAGGCGGTGTTTGAGTGCACGTTGCAGATGATTACCAAGAACTTCGAGGACTTTCCCGAGCACCGTGTCAACTTCTTCAAGCTGCTGCAAGCTGTGAATGATTTCTGCTTCGAGGCGCTGTTCAGTATCCCTCAGGAACACCAGAAGCTCGTGGTGGACTCGATCATTTGGGCCTTCAAACACACGGAGCGTAATGTTGCCGACACGGTACGATTTTGCATGTATCATACGCTTTTGGACAGTGTACTTATTGCGATTGTTTCTGTGAATAGGGTCTTGCTACGCTGTTTGCTCTGCTGCTGAACATCCAGGAGAACCCGCAGATTGCTGCTGGTTTCTACCGTTCGTTCTATCTGCTGCTGCTGCAGGACATTCTGGCCGTGTTGACTGACCGTCTACACAAGTTTGGCTTCAAGCTGCACGCTGCTATCTTGCGCCACATGTTCTCGATTGTGGAAAACAACCACGTGACTGTGCCTCTGTGGGAATCCGCACCTAACGCTGCGACGATGCCTCCCGGACAGACGAATTCGGTATGTTTATTCAAACTTAGTGATTGTAAGATGCAGTGCTAATTCTTTTTTCGTCTATAGGCCTTCCTCAAGGACTACGTGGCTAACCTGATCGGCTCATCGTTCCCCAACCTGTCGCGTGCTCAAGTAGTGGAGTTCGTGGTCGGCTGCTTCGACATGTCGAGGGACTTGCCGACGTTCAAGAAGCATCTGCGCGACTTCCTCGTTAACATCAAGGAATTCGCCGGTGAGGACAACGCCGAGCTGTTCCTGGAGGAGAATCTAGCGCGGACGCAGCTGCAGGAGAAGCAGGACATGGCTGCCAAGCTGGCGGTGCCTGGTCTAGTGAACCCGAACGAGCGTCCCGATGAGATGGCCGACCTGTAGACCAGCCTCAAATATGGTGAGATGACTCAAACCCCCCAACATGCAGAGAGATGCACCGATGGACGCTCCAAGGAGGACAAGATGGTTGTTTGCAACATTTGAACATGTTTTCCCCTTTTTCGTATGCTTTTGTTTCACTAAAAGTGTATGTTGGATGTGTTTTTTTTTATTCGTCGTGATTTTTATGTAACTTACTTCAAATTAGCTCTAATTCATTGACTGCCGCCATAACCACATCCTAAAAGGCAACCAACAATCACTCATGGCGCGCGCTCGTCGGCGTCACGCTCCGCCCACGCCGAACGCAGCCATGTCGGCCCGCAAGTCGGCGCCTGTGTCGGCTGGTGGTGTGAACGTACGTCGTTTAATGCTGTCGCGAGAGGCAGCAATAGAGCACAAGCATGAGAACGAGGAAGTGGAGGCCTCGATGGAGCCGAGTAATGAGTGCGGAAACCCCTTTTGTCGTCAAATTCTGGCCAATCGCTATGCCAGATACTGCGAGGATAAGCCTATGTGTCAGCGTTATCGAGCGCTTAGGCTGCAGTGTCTGGCTAACGCCCAGGCGGAAGAGGACGAGGAGGACACGAGGCCATTGTCGATTGTGCTTAAGAAAAAGAAGAGGAAAGAAGAGAATGAAGTATTTGCGATCCCAAGGAAGAAGAAGGACGAATCTGTAGCTACTGGGAAGAGAATATTGGATTTAAGCGAAGAGAAGAGTCCTAAAGCGAAGGAGAAGCTTCTGAAAAAGCTAAAGAAACGAGAACTGCAGGAAAAAGAGGAGAAACACAAGAAACACAAGAAAAGATTAAAGAGACCAAGAGAAACAGTTGAGAACAATACACTAGAAGCTACAGCTCCCAGGTCTCCTAGTGTGATATCCTCCGTGTCATCAATGGAGGAGTCTGGGTCAGAGAGGAAGAAGCGTGTACATCCACGAGATCTGCGAATGCGACAACCACCGGAAACTACGAGCGACGTGGAGGCTGGAAATGACGTTGCAAGGGCGAAAAAACGTCGACTGAATCGCAATTTAAGTGCAGACGACGTCTTGTCACGCTCAGCGTCGTCGTCTCCTGTTACTGCTGCATTGGATACCAATTGGAAAATACCGAGAGCTAAACCTGCGCGGCCAAAGACTGCAGCACAGGCAATTAGGAACATGAACGTGGAGCTGGTGCCTCTAGGCGTCGGCAATCAAGCTGTTACGGGTGGAGGACGATATGTGCAGAACGGAAATCGATCAGCTGCGCAGTCGTTAAGACCCTCAGACCCTCGAGCAAGACCTCCAAGCTTGACAAAGTTCGTTGCACCAGTAGCACCGCCTGCCGCACCTAATACTCCGTCTAGACAAGTACAGACACCACCGGTGCCAGCGCCTGTGCCACCAACACAGCCGCCATTACCGCCGCTTCCTCCTCAACCTGCATCGGCTCCGGTGTCTCGACCTGCTAGAACCACTACACCAGTATCGTCTGTGGAAAAGTATACTATACCCAGCGTCACCGCAGCGAGACCAAGTGTATCGACAACAGGAGCGCCTGGAGTTAAGCGGATCTCGGCTGCTGATTATCTAAAGAACAAGAAGAATGATGACCGACTACCAATAGCTCAATGGATGGACTTCCAACCATCACGATCGTCGTCGTTGGAACGTTCCACCGGATTTCCGCCAGCACCCTCAGGTCCACCTGGATATCATCGCAGTGATAGCGCCCCGTTGCCGTCGTACAGAGAACCTCGTGTTGCTGTGGATCCTCGTCGAGCATATCCAGAAGCTGACGTACGGCGTCAACGGCCATACTATGATACCGACGGCAACAGAATGGAGTATCAAGACAGGTCAGAAGGTCGTAATGAGCCTACCATAAACGATAGATCCTCATGGGAAGCTCACAACTTCCCGCCTCGTGATAGCTATCCTCGGCAAGAGGTGTCTTCATTCGGCAAAAGTTATGAGTATCCCCCAGACACACACTTCAGCCCACCTCCAGAGCAGCAGTCGTACAGGAGAGAACCCCCGCGTGAGCAACCTCCGCAGCGTGCGCCAAGTCCTCGTCGAACTGAAATCGACCGCGTGGCCAGTGACAGCAGGAAGTCCGATATCGACGACTTGGACGATGAAGCACCAACCTTTTCGTATCACGAAGACTTCTTGCCAAGTATGCTGTCTGTATTTATCCACAAACTCCCGCAATCGTTGGAAGCAGTGTTTAACGTGACGAAGAAGCCGAGGAAGATGAACTGGTACATCAAGTACGTCGAGCGGATCGAGCGACTATGCAAACCCTTCGATCTTCGGATTAAAATTGAAGGCTTGAAGGCAACAGTGACAGTGCGTGGACGCGAGTGGCTGACGTTACAGGGCAATTCTACCGTGACGTTACATCTGGAAATCATCAAGAGTGTACGAGCTGAAGCAGTGACGTGGCTGAGGTTGTACGAGGAAATGGAGAAGGCCCTCGCTCACTACAGAGGGATCTATGGCAACCAGGCGAATGAGAGCTACACCTTTCTTCGAGCGTGGAACGATCTGAAGAAACCAGGGAATTATATCTCGTTGTCAAGACAGGCCAATTATTTCTGTGGGGCGCGGCTTCATCATTGGAATTTTGTTGTTGGGAAGGTGGAGATCGGCAGTGGGAGTCATGAAGAGAAGCGAGAAGCGTTTCGATTGGCAACGATCAGTGCACTGGATTTCTTGTTGAGCATTGGTCGAGGTGTACGGCGTCCTAGTCGAGAAAAGGAAGTTAAGCGTGAACGCGTCTTGGAGGTTGAGCGGCAGGAATCGAGAGGAAACCAACGGAGTTCAAGCCGCGACTCCACCGCGAGCAACAGAGTACGCGCGTCTCCAGCCAATAATCAAGTAAATGGAGCTTCGACAGAGTCATCGACTGCACCTGCAGAACCGTCCAATGATGAACCAGCAGTTCCTACTTCTTCAGCCGAGCCATCGTCTTCTCCTGTCCCTGTGGAGCGCACGGACAAACCTGCTGTAGCAGTCATTCCAGCAAGCGATTCTAACAGCAGTTATGGAATGGAAGCGGCAGAACAAAGCGACCAGGGTGAGGAAATGAGTATCAGCGGTACGTTTTTGTTTTGTGGTTGCTGCGGTCATTTTCGCTTTTTTTTTTTTTTTTGTTGCTGATTGTTTTTGTTTTTGCGGAATTTTCAGATGCTAGCGAACAGGGCACAGTGACTCCAGGAGGATCGCCAAGACAGTCGACGAATACGCCATCTAATGCTTCCTCCATTGTACCTAGTTCGGCCGAGTCTGCAGTGTCAACGTCTTCTGCATCTAAAGCGGTGGCAGCCACATCAGTCGAGAATTCTGTTACGACTCCACTACCGTCGACTGCACAAGTTAGCGAACTGCCCGCTGCTAGGACTGTAGAAATGAAAGCAACTAGCAGTGGATCTGCTGTTGAAGGCACTCCAAACAAGGACAAATCGGCATCCCAGAGCAAGATTAAAGCGGTGATACCTCTACGTCGGTGCATGATGTGCGAGATGATTCGCATGCGCAAACCGGATGGGGAGCGATGTTTGCGTTGCCAGCAGAAGGATGTTCCTGCTAATGAGACCCCGAACGTCTCGCTTGGCCCTTCTTGAGGTCCATGGAGCGCACACATCAATAGTTTCTCGTTTTTAGACTGCGAAATACGCACGATGCAGAGGAATGAGATGCTGTACGCGCTGATAGGAGCTGATTTTGAGAAGCAAAGATACCGGTAGGTAAGTTATTTAAAATACTAGTAGTAGTTAGTAGTAGTTCACCAACGTCGTATGTACCGCTGAGACTACCGTCTTTGACGCCATCGACTCCAGTGGAAATCCTGGAAGTGGGTCATGCGTCGTCAGTATGACGGTCACGTAATTTCATTGTGTGAAATGCACACACTGGATATGTAATACTCGGAGTAGTGTTTAATTCGACTCGAGTTTTTCTTCAAACTAGAATTGATTCACTTATTTATTACTTAAGTATAGTTTTCAGAGCTGCATGAGCTAAATAATTCCTGTACACTGTCAGCGGAGCTATTTACCTAAGTGGTTCGGTGCCGTGCCGTTGCCGCGCTCAATGTCATTGACGCTTGGCCAGCATGAAGTGGCGCGGTAAGCGGAGGCCGAATTTGACCATATTCTTGCGCTTGCGTAGATCGATGAGCCGACGCGATACCTGAGTAACACGAGCATGCAGTGTGTTCTCGTCTAGGTAGCTCTCTCGTGAGGTCGCAGCCTCGAAGATAATTCGTTCTACCTTGAGCGCCAGCGTGAACGTCTTGGCACTCCAGTTGGTGTTCTGCTCCACGTGAGTGAGCACCTCGTGTGGGTGGTGGTTGCGCAGCATACGGTCGATGTTCACCACGGTCTTCCAGCGCTGCGTGCGCAGGTCCTGACCAATCTGCAGCCAACTATTGTCGAAGTAGCGTGCGTCGTGCGCCGTCGGTACAGTCACGTTCAACGCGAAACTCATGGTTTTAGTAGCTTGGTTGTGGCTGCTCAGTCGCGTCCTACGAAGCGAAGAAAATGGAAAATGAACCAGGCAGCATTGAAGCCGACGGTGTCAAACGTACAGTCGGCGCTGAGCTGTTCGTGCGTCGCTGTGCACCAAGATGGCAGCGTTTCTGGCAGACCGCGGCGGTTTTCTCCCATTGGCTGACGTCTTCAACAGCGCTTGGCTCACAGCATGACCGCGTGCGTGTCTAAACGGGGGGATGGCGTGTTAAAAGCGAGCGCTGCGCGACGGTGTGAGTCCCGCAAGGCGACAATCGATCCTGAGACAACAATGCTTTGTTCGTTTACGAGAGCGCAAGGAACCGTCCCCGCATGCATCGGTTGTGGGCCATAGATGCCATAACTTATGGTATCTGCGTCGTCGGGTGCATAAGCATCGGACAGAGGTTTGGCATCAACCCAGGTAGGTTAGATCTTGCATTTCTCACTCTAAGCTCTCATTTCAAATGAGTGTCCCCATGCAGCAAAGACCCGAGTGGGTGGCAAGTCTCCGGGGGCAGCAGTGTGATACGGTTGAGCTTGAGGCTTCACCCTCACGCATGGCGTAAGACGCAGGTCAAAAGAATTTCCTCCGCGTTGCTGCACGCAGGATGCGAAATTCAAAAAAGGCAACTACATGTATAACTTGAACTGCGGGAGTTTCAGATTTGGATCCCTCAGTTGGATTTGCCTCCTACCGCTCGCAACTTCGCCGCTGCTGCGAGCGCTGTTCGCAGTAGCTTAATGTCGTGTAGTCGAAGGGCTAAAACGATGTCCCAACGTGTCTAATACTAGTACTAGTATCACTCGTACAGACCTGACACTGCACCAAATCTCGCGTAGTTTGAGATTTTTCAACTAATATACCAAAGACACGCACATAGCGTGTCTTTCCAGTCTAATGTCTGGAACCTGAAATTACTATTTTACCCCCCCCCCCTTAAACTTGGAAATGCAAAAAAATACTTTATTGCAAAGGTTATCAATGCCAATACATTTCGAAAGATCAAGGAATACGCAGCCAGAGCAGACTACCCGAACTTAACCCTGCGTTTGCTCAAGCAAATCTCCCATTTCCCAGATCATGACGGCGCCTTCGGAGCCGACAGTGACAATCTCCTTTCGATCGGGCGAGATCTTGACAGCGTTGATAGCCTCACTGTGACCTCGACCAATTGCAACCGTCTCACCATTGTCATAGTGCCAGAGTCTGAGCATTCCGTCGCGTCCACCCGTCGCGAATAGTGTCCCGCTGTGCTCGATGTCCATAGCCAGCATTTCATGGTCCGCAGCTTCTTCCAGGAACCGGATCGCTTCTCCATCGTACGCGTCAAAGTACGTGATGCGTCTGTCCGAACCGCAGGTGAGCAATTGACTCTCGTCCGGATGATACAGCACTCGACGGAACACAGTGGAGGCAAACATGGCTTGAGTTCGCACGAACGTCTCGAGGTTCCAGACAATACAAGAGCCGTCCGAAGACGCGCTCACACAGGCGGTACAGTCCTGTGTTACTTGAATAGCATTCACAGGACCACGGTGCTCTTTTAAAGACGCTTCCATTGTCTGTCTGGACGGAGTGATGCGCCACACACGCACACGTCCGTCCTTGCCTCCAGTCAATAGTCTCCACTCGCCAGATGAAGAAAAAGTCGACGCAGAGGAGGACGGTGTGCACATCGCTATGGCCGTCACAGACTCGTTATGAGCGTCTTGAATGACGAACTTTAGCTTGCCACTTTCAGGGTAAAAAGCTCGCACTTTACCGTCATCCCAGCCACTCACTATGAGTCCGCCGTCACATGTAAGTTCCAGGCAGTTGCACACTAGATTAGGCACTTGCACACGTAGAATTTCCTGGCAACGTCGAGCGTTCCAAATGCGGATATCAGTTTTAGCGCATGTTAAGAACAAGTGCGAGTTGTCTGCGGGACTACGTGTAGTGGAACTGGGGAACACGACATCGTTGATGCAACTGTAATGGCAAGTAGAGCGCAATACCACTTTCAGTCCAGTAGTACTGGCATTTGCACTAGCAGGCCGGTTGTTCGAGCCACTAGAAGTAGGCTCGTCCAGCTGGAACTGGTACATGTTGGAGTGGTTGGTTCCCGCGTAAAAATCGCCGTGTTTTCCCTCACTTAACGCTGTGATCCCACCCATAAGTTTCTCCATACAAGCCGTAGTAATAGGTTTGGTTTTAGAGCCATCCGACGCTGCGGTTGCAGGCCCAAGCTTAAGAACAGCAAGATTCCCATCTCCAGCGCCAAGCAGCACAAAACGTCGGTTCTCTTCATTATCATGAACAACAATCGTGATGATACCTTGGCTGAAACGTTCTTTAGTTGTACGACTGTACCGAGGCTTGAGAGTTCCCACGGGAGGGAATATACAGTTAGGTTTGGCTAAGTCGCAGTCTAGCAAGATTTCAAGTAAATCTCCCGTCTTGGTGCCACAATACGCCACTTTGTCGTCTGGGGATACACCGATACACGTGACGATACGTTTGAGGTTCCCCAGATTGGCACGTAGCGCGTGGAACTTGCGTTGCTTCAATTCTACACGCCAAACAGTGATGCTGTAATTCCCGCCTGTAACGAGTAACTCGTCGTTGGCTTCGCGGTTAAACGCAGCGACTGTAAGTGTCGAGTCGTCTCCCGACGGGGTGCCACATATGGGCTCCCCAGTCTCCATATTCCAGCACACCAGTGCATTGTCATCTTGGCCACCTACTGTGAAGAGGAAGCTGTCTTTTGCCGAGAAAGTCAAGGCCTGTACCTTACCCATATGCAGCACAAGACGAAATGCCACAAAGCTGTCGTCACGATCACTGTCACCTCCGTTCGCGGATCCAGCAAGGCGTTTGGTAGCTTCTGCGAGGTCCCACACAATAATGGGGGCTTTGCTTCCGCGACTTTTGCTCTGCTGTCCCGAAGCGAGCTTTGACCCATCATTCGAGATAGCCAAACACGTGATCACATCCGTGTGGCCACGTAAGAAGCACTGCGTGTTGCGTTTAATGTCCTTCACGACAACAGCCAACCCGAGCGAATAGATGAGATATTTGCCGTCCGTGGTGTAAATGAGCGTATCGGGGTACGTTCCTATCGTCATTTTTCACAAGTCATAAAAAAATCCTATCATCACATTTACAACAACTAGATCATACCATTATACCCGATAACTCTGCGTAGTTTGAGTTCCTTGGTGTCTGCCATCTTGCGAGAAGACAAGTGATCTTAAGGCTGCGTTGAATGCTGTGAAGAGGCGATCAAGAGCGCAGGAGTTTCGCAATGAGGGGACGCAAAGCAGAGTACTTAGATACAAATTCTCTATTCAGAGGCACGTGATCTAGTAGTCGCCTTTTTGAACTTCTTTCGGAGACTGCGCTTACGACTGAAGGCGTTCTGAAGCGTAGACGCTCCGGCCTCGCGGATTTTGTCCAGCACGAGGCTGTTTTCAGAGGATTCGATGCTGGTTACGGTCCCTGCTGTGCCTGCCCGCCCCGTGCGGCCGATACGGTGCAGATAACTCACCACGTCGCTGGCAAACTCGAACTGCACTACGTCACCCACTTTCGTGGTGTCTAGGCCGCGTGCTGCGATGTCGGTGCAAATAACGACGAGGTCTTTGTCAGCGTCTTGGTCGCTATCCAGTCGCTTCAAGAGCCTCTGACGCTCTGGACGAGCCACTTCTTTGTGAAACAGAGCGCAATTTGTCATTTCCTTGTCATTTGCCAAGAAGTCGAACAGCGCGTCGGCACTGGCGATCGAGTTGGTGAACACCAGCGTCTTTTTACCACTTCCAGACGTTAAAATCCGGTACAAGAGTTCACAGCGAGCGTGTTGCTCGTCCATGAAGTCATCGGTTGTCGTAAATTCTTGCAGGTTATGCGTGTGCATTGTCAGTTTTGGTAGCGTCCGATGGAAACCCTATATCAGGGTCAGTTTTAGTCATTTCACTCAGAATAAGGAGCGCAAATAAATCGTACCTCGGTAATAGCGAAGACGGCGGACGGGAACTTGTAGTCAATATAGTGGCGCACTGAGCGCTTGCCGTAGTCTGGGATGGTCGCAGCACTGAAAATGGTCTGGGTTTGGTTTACAGAGAAGTCTTTCTCGCCGTAGTCTCTGTCTTTATGCTCGTCATTGTTAAGCTCCGCTCGTAGTAGCGGTTGATTCCGGATCGTGGCCAGGATCTGCTTAGTCTCCTTCTCGAAGCCGCCACTCAGTAACATGTCGGCCTCGTCCACCACGACTGTCTGTGTGAAGGCAAAGTCTCTGGGTTTAGTGGCACGTAGCAAAGCACTGGGTGTGGCGAGAACGAGTGGACACGATCGGCTACCGTGTCCAAGTGTCTGTCTTGAAGACGACAAGCTCACGGTAAGCTGTGCGAGCTCCGGATCCACTTGATGCAGCACGTTGGCCAGTTGTCGCACGAGTTCCTGTGACGTCGTGAGCATCAATGCGGTCGGTAGGCGCATTTCGCTTGGAGGCAGCGGGTTACGGCGGATCTGCTCTATTACAGGCAGCAGGAAGGCCAGCGTCTTGCCGCCTCCAGTCTCGGCTGCTACCACTACGTCATCGCCTGCTAGAATGCGCGGAATGGCCTTGCGCTGGGCGGACGTGGGGGTTGTCAGTTCCAATTGTGTCAATCGGTCGGAGAGCGCAGTGCTGAGCCCCAACGACTGGAAGAAACGCGCGGTGGGGATGCCAAGAGGCTCTGGATGCTGCTGCGAGAGGCTGAAGGCGGTACGGGCTGCACGAGCGACGGACGCCCCACGTAGACGACGACGCAGCGCGAGCATGTCTTGGAGTCTGCGATCAATTGAGTGGAGCACTTTAGTTGCGTTCTTATTGGTGGATATAATTAAATCATTTTGCACCAATGGGAAAGCAAATGTAATGAAATTTGTCAAGCTGTCTCGCTAACGTGTCTTAGCAGATCATAATAATGGCAGTCCGTTGTGCATGTACCAACGATGAGTTCAGCGAAGGACTGTACTTGCACTCCTTACTCAATGTGGCATTTTGACCACTGAAGTGATCTCGTTGTGGATTTTGCTGCTGCCGACTTCGTGATAGCGCCGACTTCTCTACGTGTACCAATCAATCACTGATGAGCTTTTCGATCTTTCGCAATGTATGTGTAGTGCACGCTTGGTGTTTAGAGCAGCACACACAATTATAATTCCCGCTCAATGGAATGGAGAGCGCCTCAATTTCCAGTCAACTCAAGTCTAATGCGCTTTGGGGATTGACAAGCGATAAGCACTGGGGACGGCGACTTGCACACCTGAAGTATTGATTCCGGCCATTCTGTGAGTAAAAATGCGCGAGTAAAAACGACAGAGAACTTTATACCGGTAGGGAGGAAGAAGGTCATAACGATCTTCTTGAGGCACATACATGTGTACATTGAAGAAGTGCCGCAAAGACACGAGCGATCGAAGCGGATCTGGAAGCAAAGTCGGGTCCTCGTGTCTATGCTCGATCCGCATGCTTTGCTACCGCAGTATGAGAACATTTCCACGCAATTTACTAGCTGCAGTGCAGCCTCCAAAATGGTGATGCATTGGCTCCGCTGTAGTACCGCGTTGAATAGCGTACACTTCCCAAAATGCAGCGCGAAACACGCACATGACATTGGCAACGTTTCTCATTTTATGCAGCCACAACCCAGAGCCTTTAGCGCAACGAAGTCGATCGATGGCTGCAACTACCCGGCCGTCGTAGATGTTGAAGTTGTCTTTTCATCTTAAAGTCTTCTATAGCTGAGATCCCGTGGCAGCCACACTGGACGACGCAACCCGATCACCAATTTAAAGAAAGAAAGAAAATCCGCGCTAATTTAGCTCTCATTGAAGCGGTAAGTTACAGAAATCCTAGAACAGAATGTGCACAAACTTTTGATCGGCTAGGATGCTAGACAAAATCATACAGGAGCTATGGTCAGTAATTTAACCAATGATGACAACCTGTCGGCGCTCAAGTGCAGCTTACGAGTTAACTCATTTGCATTTTTACAGTGGGAACTTCGTGTCTCAACAGTGAAGTAAGGTCGTCATACCGGGATTTACTGGATCACTGCAATATAGGAAGTTATAAAGCTTTCCTAAGCTAAAGGTTATGATCAGCTAACTGGCTTGGCATAGTTTGCTCGCTACATAGGTTTTGAAGCCTCCAAAGCCGGACCCGTTGGCGGCCACTGCCACCCCGAGACAGTCGGCCCTCTGTTCTTTTATGATAGGCTTGGATGATTTGCTTGGCGTGCTTTCGTTGAAAAACCGTGGAGGATAGGTACGTAATCCTGACTGCGAACAGGAACGAGAAGCGCTATTGTTGGAGCAACCATGAACATCAGCTCTACGAAAGGCCCAACAAGATAAAACGGTTAGGCGGTTTTTTAGTGGCGGTTGGCAATAGCATTAAACTTGATCGGCTCCTTTTGGTTAAGACTTTAGTGTTAAACAATGGCGTAATTTGTCGCTAAATTGGGGGACCAACCTGACGACAGCGTATTTCTATGTGGTCAAATACACCTAGCCCCGTTAAATGGGCGTTAGCCAATCGCAGCGCTTGACTTCACCCAATGGGATCGCTCAGGCGCAAGAGCCACGAAACGGTTCCGCCCTGTCTGCGTTCCAACCTTCCAGCAAACTTCAAAAATCGATTCACTTGCACTCAGTATGGTGCGTGTCCGCCGCGCAAAATTCGAGTTTGGCCGCATGTCTAGCTCCGAACTCGAGTGTAGCAAAAAGAGCTCATTATCGCAATACCCGTCGCTATAACACCCCAATTGGATCGGCCGCATTTTTCGTTCTTCTCGGCCGTGTCACTTTGCAATTTGAACCTTTCCACGCAAGCTATTCCCCCAAAGCAACCATCACGGCTTCCACCAATATGATCAACAACCCGGGCCTCCCGGGTTTCCAGCGCTTCCAGCTAAATAACAGTCCGATCACGGTGTCCCGCAGCAACAACACCGCGGTATTTCCGACCCAAACATCAACGATCTGCGCCACGCCCGCTTCAAATGAAGGAGGTGATGAGGAGTTGCGACGCCTGCGCTCCAACTACGTAGTTCTCATCGAGCGTATGCTGCGCAACCACCAGCCTCACGACGTACTGAATCACGTGCCAGAGAATACGGATTGGCGCTCCAAGACGTTCAAACTCGCGCTCAAGATCGAACGTCTCATATTCAAGGCCGCCAAATCTCGCGCCGACTACATGAATGAGCACACGCTCAGCCGCCGTGTGAAGGTTCTGTGCCGTCACCTCGTGCGCATTCGTATGCGCAAGAACGCAATGACGGAGGGTCTCACCAATCGCTGCTAGCCCCGTGTCCACGCTGGACTTCGATTGTCAACCGCTGTCGCCTGCCGCGAGTCCATGGAGTGTCTCCCAAATTATTCGTATTTTAGGAACAATAGGGGTGGACACT